GTAGTAGTAGTAGTAGTAGTAGTAGTAGTAGTAGTAGTAGTAGTAGTAGTAGTAGTAGTAGTTGTAGTAGTAGTAGTAGTAGTAGTAGTAGTAGTAGTAGTGGGAGTAGTAATAGTCGTAGTAGTAGTGGGAGTAGTAGTAGTAGTAGCAGTAGTAGTAGTCGTCGTCGTCGTCGTCGTAGTCGTCGACGTCGTAGTCGTAGTCGTGGTCGTAACAGTAGCAGTAGTAGCAGTAGTAGTAGTAGTAGTAGTAGTCGTAGTAGTAGTAGTAGCCGTAGTAGTCGTAGCAGGAGAAGAAGAAGTAGTGCTGATAGTAATAGTCGTAGTAGTAGACTTAGTAGTAGTAGTCGCAGTAGTAGCAGTAGTAGTAGTAGTACTCTTTAGTAGTATTGTTACTAGTAGTAGTAGTAGTAGTAGTAGTAGTAGTAGTAGTAGGAGTAGTAGTAGTAGTAGTAGTAGTAGTAGTAGAAGTAGTAATAGTAGTAGTAGTAGTAGTAGTCGTCGTAGTAATCGTAGTCGTAGTCGTAGTCGTAGTAGTAGCAGTAGTCGTAGTAGTAGTAAGTAGTAGTAGTAGTAGTCGTCGTCGTCGTCGTCGTCGTCGTCGTCGTCGGCGTATTACTCGTAGTAGCAGCCGTTGTAGTGGTAGTGCTAGTGGTAGTGGTAGTGGTAGTGGTAGTGGTAGTGGTAGTAGTGGTGGGAGGTCGTAGTAGTAGTAGTAGTAGTAAAGTAGTAGTAGTAGTAGAGTAGAGTAGTAGTAGTCGTAGTAGTAGTAGTAGTAGCAGCAGCAGTAGTAGTAGTAGTAGTAGTAGTCGTAAATAGTAGTAGTAGTAGTAGTAGTAGCAGTAGTAGTCGTGATAGTAGTAGTAGCAGTAGTAGTAGTAGTAGTGGTTCGTAGTTAGTAGTAGTGTAGTCGTAGTTGCAGTAGTAGCAGTAGTAGTAGTAGTAGTAGTAGTAGTAGTAGTAGTAGTAAGTAGTAGTAGTAAGTAGCAGTAGCAGTAGTAAGTAGTGTAGTAGTAGTAGTAGTAGTAGTAGTAGTAGTAGTAGTAGTAGTAGTAGTAGTAGTAGTAGTAGAAGTAATAGTAGTAGTAGTAGTAGTAGTAGTAGTAGTAGTAGTAGTAGTAGTAGTAGTAGCCGCGGTCGTTTGAAGACGGCCCCTGGGACACTCCCCAGGCCCCGAGAAAACCTTATACGAGCTGAACAATTGCCAAGAATACACCGGAGAGACCGAACAGACCCGAACAGCCTCCGAAGAGGATTTTTTTTCTGCGCGGCATGTTACCCAGCCATGGCAGTTCTCATTTAGGAAATACAGCTGTTCCATTTTCACCGCTGTGCGAAAAAGTAAGCTTGGCATGATTGAACTTGGCGTGGGGCAATCGCATCATTTCCTGCTAACGAATTGTACACGCCGCACTTCTTATTTCAGCAGGGGCCTTAGCCAAAAGTGCCGCACGAAAAAAACATTTGAATTTAAAGCATTGGGTGTAAGACGCTTAAGGAGCTGTCCAAGAAGACCCTCACTGGGCTCCCAAACGGCCCCAGACACCCACCTTGGCCCCAAGATGGTCCACAAGGCTTCTGAGACGGCCTACCAGGGCCCACGATGATCCCGATGACGGCCCTCGAGGCCCAAACCGAGCAAACGCCGCATGCGTTCGATTGTTTTTCACACTCGTCCCGTGACGGGCCCAGAACGGCCCCACGCGGCTTGCAGGCACTTTTGCGACGGCCCCAAGAGGACCCTTGAGGTTCCGACGAGCGCATGAAGTCTGTCCAAGATGGCCCCAAGAAAGGCCGCAGACGGTCTTTTCGAGCGTCCGGTGGCCGCCCAAGACGCTCAATGAGCTGCGTGGGAGGGGTCAAGCCAGGCTCCCGGACAGCTCTAGAACCCCACCATGGCCCAGGCCCCCGAGACAGCCCAAGAGGGCCCCAAAATAGCCCAAGAGGGCACAAAAGTTGCCCAAGAGGGGCTCCGCTGTGTAAGAAGGACTGCTCCGAGGTGCTTCAGAGTCAACTGACTCCGACAGTTGCTACGGAGCTCCGCTTCCAGTCCCAGCACCTTTCGCCATTTCTGGTTTTACAATCAGTCCAAGATAGTCCCACGAGCTGTCCAGAAAGGTCCGTTCCGAGATGCTCTACAGCCTCCCAACAGAATCCGGCAGTTGTCAAGGGGTTCCCAAGAGAGCCTCCAGCCCGAGAACACTTCGCCCTTTCTGAGTTGGCGACTCGTCCGGGAGTTCTGTCTGAGAGTGCTCAGGATAGGCTGGCCATTGGTCAAGCAGTGGCGAAGCGTCCTGGCTCGCCTCTTGGCCTACCTAAGAATGTTCTAGGAACCTTCTGCAGTGGTTTCCCACGAAATCTTCTTAGAACATTTCTGGCTGGGACTGTCTTGTTTTAACACACCGGGTTTATGTTCTAAGAACATGGTTTTTGTTTGTTCGAACATGTTGGGGGGTTCTATAAGAACATCTCGTGGTAGGCCCAGAGGAATGCCAGGACGGTCGCTCCCTGCTCAAATTGGGGGCAGGCTCCGCAGCGCCTTCGATCTCCTTCTCCCCAGCCCACGCACGCAGCCCGCGCACATTCGTCGACCTCCTCGGGCGGCCACAGCCTCCACTGCTTCTTTTCTTCTTTCCATCCTTGGCCCCTACACAGCTTCCAGGGTTATGATGCTCCAACCTATTTTAGCTGTGATCGCCAGAACTATCTTCGATCACCAGCAGAAGGACTGTAGCCCCTGGGTGTTCACGTGTCGGGCCCAGGGAGACACTCGTCCGACGCTGTTTCGACACTGCTTCGGCACTCTTTCGACACTTTTTCGGGTGCTCGAAATTATTTATGGGATGTGGTCCTTAAGTAAGATGGGAGTAACATAACTCAAGGTGGCTCAAGATCATCCTGGGGTGGCCCAAGACGCCCCCATTACCCCAAGGCCAGGCAACAGTAGCGTCAGCGCGCAGCAACCGCAAGCAGCAGCAGCAGCAGCAGCAGCAGGAGGTAGCGATCAGCAGCACGCACCAGGCAGACGTGGCCATCAGCAGCACCCTTCAGCCACAAGCAACCTCGACACGCAGAAGCGGCAAGCATTACAAACGACATGCAACAGCGGCAGCAAGCAACACTACACAGAGGCATGCGCCGAATGCGAGGGTCGAGCCCCACGTTGAAATGACATCCCCAGTGGCCCCCACACGCTTGACCCCGCAAGTGGATGTAGTCCACGGATCAGCCCTAGTCAGCTACAGCGCTGGGATCAGCGCGTGCGGGAAGGGCGAGCAGTGGCAGCGGGCATTGGCGCTGATAAACGAGATGTGGGAGGTGAAGCTGGAGCCCAACGTCATCTCTTCTACAATGCAGCGATCTTTGCGTGCCAGAAGGTCCTCTGTCTTGAAATGTTGGCCGGGCTCTCCAGGCCGTCCTGCGAGCCCCCGGGCCGCTCCGAGACGGCTCAGAGACGCCCACGAGGGCGCCCGGACAGACCAAGAGGGATCCAACCGAGCCCCAGGTCGGCCCCAGAGGCCTCCAAGGCAGGCCAGGAGGCTCCCAAGGCGGCCCAGGAGGACCCCCAGGAGGGACCCAAGAGGCAAAAATTGCCCATATGCTCGCTCTTTTCGTGTTCACCGCGTCCAAGACGGCTCTACAGGCCTTCCCGATCGCCCCAAGACGCCCCCAGAGCACCCCAGGAGGGCCCTTAAACGGCCCGAGGCGGCCCCAAGACAGCCCCAAGAGCGGTCAATAACGGCCCACGACGGCCCCAAGACGGTCCGAGCTGCGCCCAAGACAGCCCCACACGGCCCCAAGACGGCCCAAGGGGTACCCAAGACGGCCGAAGAGGGCCCCAAGAGGCCCCCAGGAGGCCGCAAGATGGTCCAAGGGGGCCCCAGAAGGCCCCCAGTAGGCCGAAAAGAAACCCCGAGAGGCCCCAAACGGTTCCCATGGGGAAGGAAGCGCCCGCCATCCGTGGCCGCATAGGGAGCGTTGCCCTCCTCCGTCTGAGCGGGCGCGAGCGAAAAAGCGCCGAATACTGAACAGCAACATGGGCGCTATTTCCTTGTACTATTGCCTCCCAGCTCCAGGGCGCGTCCACAGTGAGCTCCCATGCACAGTCCACCGTTCGAGATTTCGAGCGCCTTGGGGCAGCATCGATCTCTCCCTTGGGCACGAAGCAGACAGCAGCAGCGGCGGCACACAACAGCAGCAGTAAGCAGCGGCAGGCAGCGGGTAGAAGCACGCACCAAGCGGAACTGGCCATCAGCAGCATTCTGCATCCACAAGCAGCAAGAACACGTAGCAGCGGCCTCCAATATTACCAAGAGTCTACAAAAGCGGCAGCAAGCAGCAGCACGCAGTAGCATGCGCAGAATGTGAGGTCGGACCCCACTATCAGATGCCAGCTCGTGCAGATTTCGTAGTAGGAGTCGACGGGTCAGTCCTATCGGCCTCGCCAGCCCCCTTCCGGTGCCCACAACCCACGACGACGACCACCACCACGACAACGACGCCGACTACGACGGGTACGACGGCGGCCTCGCGGCGGCGACGACAACGACGCCGACGATGACGGCGACGACGGCGGCCCCGCGACGGCCGAGCTGCTGGAGTTCCGCAAGGGCGGGCTCGGACACGAATACGCGGTCTCGCTGCTGGCGCCGTGCTCGTAGGTTTTCGACAAAATCTCCGCCGTTCCTCCGAGAACCATTCCAGAAAGACGTCGTGGAGGGAGTCCATGGGTCAGCCCTAGTCTCTGTACTACAATTCCGGGCGAAGCGCGCGCGAGAAGGTCAGGCAGTGGCAGCGCCCCGGGCCGCCCAGAGAGCTCGCGGGCCGCCCGGAGAGCCTCCGGGCCGCTGCCCGACGGGCCTGGGAGGCCCCCGGACCGCTCGCGGACTGATCCAGGATTCCCAGATCGCCCCAAGACGGCCTCAGGAGGTCCCGAAGACGGCCCAAGACGGTCTAAGAGTGTATCCGAGACGCTTACGATGGCTTCAAGACGCCTCCAAGACGGCCCGAGACGCCTCCACAAGGCCCCCAGAGCGCTCGAAGTGCACCTCCAAGAGGGGCCGCAGAAGCCAAAATCATAATTTTTTCAGTTTTTTTTCAATGTTTCTGGCCTTCTCGCTTTTTCGGCTGTCCGACGCTCCACGGCCGCTCAAGAGGCCCCCAAGACCGTTCCAAGACGGCCCAAGAGGCCTTCAAGACGGCCGCAAGACGTCCCAAGATCGCCCAAGAGGCCTCCAAGATGGCCCCATGACGGCCCAAGAGGTCCCCAAGACGGCCCAAGAGGGCCCCAAGACGGCCCAAGAGTCGCCCAAGACGGCCCAAGAGGGCCCCAAGAAGGCCCCAAGAGAGGCCCAAGATAGGGACCCGGAACCGAAAAATCGAGGCCTCCACCCCAAGAGGCCCCCAGGAAGCCCCAAGACGCCCCAAAGAAACGCCGGGACGCTCCCAAGACTTCCCCAGGAGGCCCCCGGACGCCACAAAGAGGCCCCAAGAGGCCCCCCAGAGGCCGCCAAGCGCCCCAAAAGGCCCCCCAGAGGCCCCAAAAGAGGGCCCAAGAGGCCCCAAGACGCCCTCAAACTGCTACCAAGAAGCCCCCAGACTGTCTCCCAGAGGCTCCCGAGAGGCCAACCACGAGATCCCAACCAACATCCTCGAGATCTCTTGCCCATTACCCAGGCCCGCGGCGAGATTCAGGCAGTGGCAGCGCCCCGGGCCGCCCAGAGAGCTCGCGGGCCGCCCGGAGAGCCTCCGGGCCGCTGCCCGACGGGCCCGGGAGGCCCCCGGACCGCTCGCGGACTGATCCAGGATTCCCAGATCGCCCCAAGACGGCCTCAGGAGGTCCCGAAGACGGCCCAAGACGGCCCAACACGGTCTAAGAGTGTATCCGAGACGCTTACGATGGCTTCAAGACGCCTTCCAGACGGCCCGAGACGCCTCCACGAGGCCCCCAGAGCGCTCGAAGTGCACCTCCAAGAGGGGCCGCAGAAGCCAAAATCATAACTTTTTCAGCTTTTTTCAATGTTTCTGGCCTTCTCGCTTTTTCGGCTGTCCGACGCTCCACGGCCGCTCAAGAGGCCCCCAAGACCGTTCCAAGACGGCCCAAGAGGCCTTCAAGACGGCCGCAAGACGTCCCAAGATCGCCCAAGAGGCCTCCAAGATGGCCCCATGACGGCCCAAGAGGTCCCCAAGACGGCCCAAGAGGGCCCCAAGACAGCCCAAGAGTCGCCCAAGACGGCCCAAGAGGGCCCCAAGAAGGCCCCAAGAGAGGCCCAAGACAGGGACCCGGAACCGAAAAATCGAGGCCTCCACCCCAAGAGGCCCCCAGGAAGCCCCAAGACGCCCCAAAGAAACGCCGGGACGCTCCCAAGACTTCCCCAGGAGCCCCCCCCCGGACGCCACAAAGAGGCCCCAAGAGGCCCCCCAGAGGCCGCCAAGCGCCCCAAAAGGCTCCCCAGAGGCCCCAAAAGAGGACCCAAGAGGCCCCAAGACGCCCCCAAACTGCTACCAAGAAGCCCCCAAACTGTCTCCCAGAGGCTCCCGAGAGGCCAACCACGAGATCCCAACCAACATCCTCGAGATCTCTTGCCCATTACCCAGGCCCGCGGCGAGATTGCCCGCAGGCCACTACAGCCGGTTCGGGGGCCCTACGTATCCCAGCACCCGCACCCTTGGCTGTATCGATGCAGGGCCCTGGGGGGCCGAAACCTCGGGAAACTCAGATCGTCTTGGGCGGTGTCCAAGGCCTTGGGGTACGTGTGGGGGCCAATACTGGCGCAGTGGAATGGCCAGAACCTTCGGATTTTCGCTAATCGCGGAGAGGCCGGGAGCGATTAGCGAAAACCCTATGCTTTTTGAGACCTCCACGCCCGGCCTTATCGGTTACGATGGCCCTCTTGGGTCGGGCGCCTCGTGGGGCGGCTTGGGGCAATCTTGGGGGTGTGAGGCCGTCTCTGACCTCGCGTTGGGCTCTCGTGGGCGGCATCTGCGGCTGTGCTGGGCCCTGCTGGGGGTCACTTGAGGCTTCGGCGACACGTGCGAGTTCGGGACCAACGCCTGGACCTGCGGGCCGTGGATTTTCCACGGGTTCATACTAGTCAGCTACAATGCTGGGATCAGCGCGTGCGAGAAGGGCGAGCAGTGGCAGCGGGCGCTTGCGCTGCTGAGCGAGATGTGGGAGGTGCAACTGGAGCCCAACCGCATCTCTTCTCTATGGCGGACATCAGCGCGTGCCAGAACGTCAAATCAGCGCATGTGGACCGATGCGCCCCCTGGAGGGCTACCTTTCGACACTCCTCACGGAGATCCTGGCCCCCGAGCGTCACAAATCGAGCCCTCCGCCCAAAGACGCGCCGAAGTGGCCATAAGAAGTTCCAAGGAGCGTCCAAGAGGCCCAACAAGGCCCAAGAGGCCTCCAAGAGCTTCCAGCAGTCCTCCGAAGCATACCCCCAGACGCCAAAATCCTTAATAGTTCCATGGTTGTTGCTGGTGTTTTGCCTTCTCGCCTTCTCGGCTAGCTGACAACACTCCTCCGAAGCGTGCCCCCAGAAACCAAAATCTTTAACGCCCCAAGACGGCCGAAGAGACCCACAAGACCGCCACAGGACGGCCCAACAGGCCTCCAAGCGCGTCCCCAGACGGCCCAGGGAGCCCCAAGATGGCCCAAGAGGCGCCCAAGACGGCCCCAGAGGACCCCAAACCAGGCCCAAGAGGAGGGCAAAAGAACGGGGAAAAACCCTGACATTCCGAGCCCTGGGCCCCCATACGCTCACACAAGGCCCCAAGACCCCCCCAAGGGAACGCCAAGAGGTCCCCAGAGGCCCCCAGGAAGCCCAAAGCAAGCGCCACGAGGCCCCAAGACGGCCCCCAAGTGGCCCCATAAGAGGTTCAACGGAGCGTCCAAGAGGCCCCCTAGAGGCCCCCAACAAGGCCCAAGGGGCCTCCAAGAGCCTCCAACAGTCCTCCGAAACATGCCCCCAGGGGCCAACATTGTATTTTTTTGTTGTTTTTGAAGGAGTTTTGCCTTCTCGCCTTCTCGGCTAGCCGACGCTCCAAGACGGCCGAAGAGACCCAAAAGACCGCCCCAGGACGGCCCAACAGGCCTCCAAGCGCGTCCCCAGACGATGGCCCAAGAGGCGCCCAAGACGGCCCCAGAGGACCCCAAGCCAGGCCCAAGACGGGGCCAAAGAACAGGGAAAAACCCTGACATTCCGAGCCCTGGGCCCCCATACGCCCACACAAGGCCCCAAGACCCCCCGAATGGAACGCCACGAGATCCCCAGAGGCCCCCAAGAAGCCCAAAGCAAGCCCCACGAGGCCCCAAGACGGCCCCCAAGAGGCCCCAAAGCTGCCTCCAAGAGGGACCCGGGCGTGCTTCCACTGACACAGCCTCCACCGCGTCCCCGCCTCCCGCATCTCTCGCCCACCTCCACCTCCAGCGGCCACCTCCTCCATCCACGCCGTCCCTTCTACCCACCCCTTACCCGCGAGGCCACAGAGACGCTTCTCTTCCACGTCTACGCCATGGCGGGCATATTTCGCGGCCAGAAGGCCTAGTCTCTGCTACAGTGCAGGCATACGCGCGTCTGAGAGGGGCGGGGGTCGGGTGGCTCCTCCGACGCCCTGGCCCCGGGCGGCGCGGTTTAAAGACGCCCCGGGCGGCTCCGGAGGCCCCAAGAGGCCCCCAAGCCGGCTCAAGGAGCCCCCGAGACGCCCAAAGAGCGCTCCAAGAGGCCGCCCAGACGGCACAAGAGGCCTGCAAGCGTAATCCCCGAGGGCCCCGAGCGGCCAAAATCATCCACTTTACGACGGTTTTGGAAGGATTTTGGCCTTCTCGCCTTTTCCGCTTTCCGACGCTCGAAGACGGCCCAAGAGCCCTCCAAGAGCGCCCCAGAACGGCCCAAGAGGCCTCCAAGAGCGCCCCAAGACAGCCCAAGAGGGCCCCAAGACGACCCAAGAGACGCTCAAGACGGCCAACGAGGGCCCGAAGACCGAAGACAGGCCCAAGAGGGGGCCAAGAGGGGGACCACGGACCGAAAATCCGAGCCTTCCGCCCCAAGAGGGCGCCAGGAGGCCCAAACAGGCCCCCAAGAGGCCCCAAGAGGCCGCCAAGAATCCCCGAAGAGGCCCCAGGAGGCTCCCAAGGAGCCCAAACGAGGCCCCAACAGAGGCCCCAACAGCATCCAAAATGGCCCCAAAGAGGCCTCGAGCCCGCCTCCGAGCTTCCTCGCCGCGAGGGTGCCAACACGGCCCCAGACGGGCCCAGGACGGCCCACGGCGCGCTCAAGACGGTCCAAGACGACTCCAAGACGGTCCCAGGAGGGAGGGGAGGGCCCACGACGGCCCAAGGACGCGCCCGGTCGGGGCCTCAAGATGGGCCAAGATGGCAAGAGAGCCCCAGCTGGCAAAATTCCTTAATCTTCCATTGTTTATTGTAACACCCTTTACGTTTCCCGCCATTTCGGCGGTCCAATGCACCAAGAGGCCCCGGAAAGTCCCAGGAGTGTCCGAGGAAACGCCCAGGCAGGCCCCAAGACGGGCCAAGACGGACCCAGCACAACCCAAGGCGCGCTGCGACGGCTCATGACGGCTTCAAGACAGTCCCAAGAGGGTGCCAACACGGCCCCTGCTGGGCCCAGGATGGCCCAAGGAGGCGCACAGGAGGGGTCCAAGACGACTCCAAGGCGGCCCCCTCACGGTCCCAGACGGCTCCAAGACAGCCCCACGATAGTGCCAACAAGGACCCCGATGGGCCCAGGACGGCCTACGGACGCGCCCATGAGGGGCCCACGACGAACCAAGACGGCCCCATCACGGCAAACGGCGCCCTCAAGACAGGCCTAGATGGCTCTCAGACGGCCCTTTGAGGGAGCCAGCGCGGCCCCACACCCTTCGGGCGAACACTTGGGGGGGCTGGGAGCTTGCGACAAGTCTCCCACATTCATTGTCATGCCCCATTCTGTTCGCCTGCAGGCCTCCTCCAACCCTGTGGGCGAACAAGAGGAAACCCAGCGGGCCGCCAACCCTGGGGCCCGTGGGCCCCGCGCCGCTTGGGCAGAAGACGAACGCCGGGTCTGACAGGCCAGCTACCGCCCCCCTTTGCCCGATATGCTGTGCCATTCTGTTCCCCCAGGGGTCTTGGCAAACTCTTCGGGCCAACCAGACCAGACCCCTGGGACAGCAGCCAATTGATATGACCCAGGGACCTCTTCGCATTCTTCGGACGAGCACCTGGGGGGACCAGGAGATTCGGACAAGTCTTCCCCATTCCTTGCCCTGTCCCGTTCTGTTCGCCCGAAGGCCTCCACAGACCCTCTGGGCGAACAGAATGGGACATGGTGAACAAACCCTCACGTTGGCGGTGATGCGACTGGATCGCACCATCAAGGCGCGCCCGGAGGTGATGGCCGACCCAACAGCGGTTTCTCTAAAGATTTGTTTACAGAATTTCAAATGTTCTTGAAGCTCTCTTGGGCCCTCCCTGTAGATCCTTGCGAGCCTCCCCGGCGCTTTCGGTGGCTTTCCCCGATGGCCTCCCGAGCCCTTCCCTGGGCGCTCTGGAGACGCCTCAGATGGGCTTCGACTTCGACGCACATCCCCGAAAGACTTCGAAATGGCCCTCAATAGGAGGGGGGTGAACGAGCAGTGCGCTGGGCCAAGCTGCTGGAGCGCTGCAAGAGCTCGGACACGAAGGCGCGGTCTCGCTGCCGCCGCCCGAGCCGCCGCCGTGTTTGTAGATTTTCGGTGCAATCTGCGCCGTTGTTCCTCCGAGAAGCATTCCAGAAAGATGTCGTGTACGGAGTCCACGGGTCAGCCCTAGTCTTCTTTCTCTACAATGCAGGGCCCCGCGCGTGCGGGCAGGGTCCCTGTCTTGATCGATATAAAATACCCCACAACGGCTCCGGGGACGCCCCAGAGGCGCTCACGCGGCCCAAGAGGCGCCCAGGACGGCCCCAGACACCCCCAAAACGGCCCAAGAGCGCTCCAAGAGAGCTCAAGACCGCCGAAAACGGCCCCGACAAGGCCCAGGAGGCCTCCACGACGGCCCCAGAGACGCCCAAGAGGCGTCCCAGGATGGCCCCCGCAGGCCCAAATCTTTGTTTCTCCAAAGAAAAACCTCAAATTTTAGCATACACTGCTTGTCGGGTATATGGCGCAGAAGATGGGACAAGAGGTCCCCACGACCGCCCCAATACGGCCCAAGAGGCCCCCCAGAGGCACGAAAACCGGCCCGAGAGAGCGTCAAGAGACCCAAGAGGCGCCCAACACGGCCCCCAGGCGGCCCCAGGAGGCTCCCAGGAGGCGCCCAGGACGGCCCCAGACACCCCCAAGACGGCCCAAGGGCGCTCCAAGAGAGCCCAAGACCGCCGAAAACAAACCCAAGACGACCCAGGAGGCCTCCACGTCGGCCCCAGAGACGCCCAAGAGGCGTCCAAGGATGGCCCCAAGACGCGAAAATCATTGTTTCCCCAAAGAAAAACGCTCAATTTTAGCATGCGCTGCTCGTCGGGAATATGGCGCAGAAGCTGGTTCAAGGTCCCCACGACCGCCCCTATACGGCCCAAGAGGCCCCCCAGAGGCACGAAAACCGGCCCGAGAGAGCGTCAAGAGAGCCCAAGAGGCGCCCAAAACGGCCCCAGGGCGACACCAAGAGGCTCCCAGGACGGCCCAAGGTATCCCCAAGACGCTCCAAGAGCGCTCCACGACAAGCCAAGACTGCCTTTTGCGGCGCCAAGACGGCCCAAGACGCCTCTACGACGGCCCAAGAGACGCCGAAGAGGCTTCCCAGGAGGGCCCCAGGAGGCCACAATTATCGCTTCCCCGACGGAAACCGTACACATGTCAGCATCTCCGGCTTTCCGGGTTTCATGGCGTAGACGACGGCCCAAGAGGCCCCCAACACCGCCCCAAGACAGCCCAGGAGGCTCCCACAGGGGATCCACACCGGCCCGACGGAGCGTCAAGACATGTAGCCGAAGAGCCGCCCAAGACGGCCCGACAGGGCCGCAATACGGCCCCCAGAGCTTCCCAACACGGCCCAAGGTTCCCCTAAGACGGCCCCAGAGCGCTCCAAGAGGTGTGGAAGATAGTGGGGCGAGGCACTAGTGTGCCATTTCAGGGGCCTCCCTGAGCTCCTGCTCCTCCTCCTCCTCCTCCTCCTCCTCCTCCTCCTCCTCCTCCTCCCCCACCTCCTCCCCCTCCTCCTCCTCCACGTCCTCCTCCTCCTCATCCTGCTGCTGCCCCTCCTCCTCCTCCTCCTCCTCCCCCTCCTCCTCCTCCTTCTCCTCCTCCTCCTCCTCCCCTCACCCCCCCTCCCCCTCCCCCTGCTCCTCCTCCTCCTCCTCCTGCTCGTCCTCCACCTCCTCCACCTCCAGTCTCCAAGCCTTTCCGTCTGCACAGTCTCCAAAACGGTTTCTGGGCCGTCCATGACGGCGCCAAAGGCGCCCGAGACGGCCCAAGAAACACCCAAGACAGCCCCAAGAGCGCCCAAGATCGGCCCAAGATTGCCCCAAAACGGCCCCAAGATGGTCCGAGAGGCGCCCAAGACGGCCCCACATCGCCCCAAGACGGCCCAAGATGCACTCAAGACTGCCCAAGATGGCCCCGAAGGACTCCCAGGAGGACGAAGGCCCCCAAACGGCCCCCAAGAGGCCTTGGATGCTTCTCTCCTGGAGAGCGTCGAACTTCCAGCGCCGTCTTGGGGGCTTCTTGGACTCTCTGGGAGCCATCTCTGCGCCAGTTGGGGACGTCTTGGGGCGGTGCGCTCGAAAGGTCGATTCGTGTCCTCGCACTGGGGCCCGTCTTAGGGAGTTCGTGGGGCCTTCTGGGGCCGTCAGGGAAGCCTCTTGGCCCGGCCTGGATACGTTTTGGGCCGTCTCGCCGCCCTCTTGCGGGCCTCTTAGAGCGCGCCCACTGGCCCCATTGCCACCACACTACCAGATAAAATCATCAGTGGCGAAGGGCAGCAAACATTTCTCACGGCGACCCTTCCCGCAGAAGCTATGATGAACACAGACTGCGGCAACAGAAACAGCTTCTGTCCACACCATTTCATGCCTACATGAGTGTGCTTCCACTGGCACCGCCTCCACCAGTGCGTTCCTGCCTTCAGGCCTGCTTGCCTGCATCCCTCGCCCGCCTCTACCTCCAGCGGCCACCTCCTCCATCCACGTTGTCCCCTCCAACCTCCCCTTACCCGCGAGGCCCCAGAGACGCTCCAATTCCACGTCCACGCCATGGCGGGCAGAGTCCGCGGCCAGAAGGCCGCAGGTCAGCCCTAGTCAGCTACAGCGCTGGGATTAGCGCGTGCGAGAAGGGCGAGCAGTGGCAGCGGGCGCTTGCGCTGATGAGCGAGATGTGGGAGGTGAAGCTGGAGCCCAGCGTCAGCATCTGTTCAAGACTGGAACGAGCGCGTGCAACAAGGGTCTGTTCACCACGTGGCTCACGTCAGCTCCGAGCCGCTCGCGACTGCGCTCCTAAGGCCCCCAGCACGGCCCGAGACGCTCAAGAGGGCGCCCCGGCGGCCCCGTAACGACTTGGAGACGCTCCAGAGGCCGCCCCGACGGCCCCAGAGGAGCCCCAAGGAGCCCCAGGGCGGCCCGAGAGGTCCCGACAACAGGCCCGAAGGCTTCCAAAAGGGCCTGTTTCTCTTCCTAATCCCTCTTCGCCTGCTTTCCCCAGTCCTTTTCTTCCTCGTCCTCCTCTTCTTCCTCCTCCTCAACCTCCTCCTCCTCCTCCTCCTCCTCCTCCTCCTCCTCCTCCTCTTCCTCCTCCCCAAGAGGCCTCTAAGACGCCCAGGATGGCCTCCAAGACGGCCCGGAAGCGCCTCAAGAGGACCCCATTCGGCCAAAATCGTTGACCCCCATGGGTGTTGAAGGATGCTCGCGCTCTGGCCATATTGAGCCAAAGACGGCCCCACTCGGCTCCAGGACCCTGCCTGAGCGCCCCACGACGACCCAAAAGGCCTTCAAGAGGGCCCCGAGACGGCCCAAGACAGTTCCACGACGGCCCAAGAGGCGCCCAAGACGGCCCAAGAGGCACCGAAGACAGTCCCAGGAGCGACCCAAGACTGCCCAGGACCGGCCCAAGAGGCACCCCACAATCCAGGAGGGCCCCAGGATGGCCCCGACAAGGCCCCCAGACGCATGTACTTGGGTGCCCATCTAGCAAGCCCAAGAAGCATATCAAGTACATGCGGTTTGGGGCCCTCTTGGGGCCCCCTTGGGGCGCTCTTGCGGCCCTCCTGAGGCCTTCGGGCCCCTCCAAGACAGGGCCATGCGCATTCTGCCACAGAAAGGCCTCTCGTGGCAGAATGACGGGCCTGCGCCCGGCGGCGTCCTGGGGCCCTCTTGGAGCCCTCTTGGACCCAAGACAGCCCCAAAGACGGCCCCAGATGGCCCGAAGACGGCCCAATAGGCGCCCAAGACGGCCCGCGACGGCTCCAACACGGCCCCGAAGGCACGCAAGACAGCCCCAGGAGCCGCCAAGACAGTCCAAGACGGCTCCCAGACGGCCCAAGAGGCGTTCAAAACGGCCCAGGACGGTTCAAACAGCACCGACGAGAGCCCACGAGGGCCCCCAGAGGCCCCCTCGAAGCCCCAAAGAAGCTCCAAGAGGCCCCGACACGGCCCCTAGCAGACCCTAAGTGGCTAATCGTGGGATCATCGCGCAGAGCGCCCCGCGCCCGAACTACCTCCCCGCAAGCGTTCTGTGTCTCGCTGCCGCCGCCGCCGCCGTCATCGTCCCCGTCGGGCGGTGCCGGCAGGCGCCACGGAGCGTGCCAGTGCAGCTCGGGGCGTTGCTTTGGAAGGGGCGGATAGCCTTTCGGTGCCATTCCCGCCGGTCCCCCCTAGAATACTCTTGGCCAGACGTCGTGGACGGAGTCCACAGGTCAGCCCTAGTCAGCTACAATGCTGCGATCAGCGCGTGCGAGAAGGGTGAGCAGTGGCAGCCGGCGCTGGCGCTGCTAAGCGAGATGTGGGAGGTAAAGCTGGAACCCGACGTCATCTTTTTGACAGCACCGGGAGCAGCGTGTGCCAGCGAGGCCTTGTCCTACGCCCGCTGGGCCCGCGGCGGCGGCGCCTCCGCGGCCACCTGCTCCGAGACAGCCCCCGCGAGAGGCCCGAACGGCCCCAAGAGCGCCCCTCGTCCGCGCAAGAGGGCTCCCAGACGGCCCGAGAAGGCCACCAGCAAGGGCCACAAGCTCCCGTATGGCCTACGAGAGGGCTTCGTTGGCGAAAGACTGCGGCTTTGCAGTGGGTTTCCCCGCGCGTTCTCTAGCTATCGCGCCTTCTCTGGCCACGCGATGCGACGGCCCTGGAGACCCCCAATCCAGCCGAACAGCCCCCCAAGACGGCCCCAAGGGAGGCCCAACAGGGCACACTCCGGCGCGCTCTCCTTCCCCCCTGCCCCCCCACCTGCCGGCAAGTCCCCCAGAAGCCCCCCCATGAGCCTCCCAGACGGCCTCCCGGACGCTCCCAAGCAGCTCCCTCGAAACGGCTCGGACATCCCCCTGCAACTGCCTCACAGTCTCCCGGAAGGCCTCCAACAGCTCTCTCCAAACGGCCCCGATGGGCTCTCAGCATACGCCCCATGATTGGGAACAAGCCACACCCCACACTTATTGGTGGGAGGGGCTGCAGAAAGTAGCTCCCCGATGCAGCCGGGGGGCACACGGGAACGCTGTTTCTGCGACCCACCCCGCGGCGAGCGTGTCCCACGCCTCCCATATGGCTTCATAGAGGGCCTCGAGGGCGAACAACTGTGGCTTTTCAATCGGTAAAGCTAGAGCCCGACTTCGTCTGTATTCCAACTCCGGGCAAAATCGCCGCCCAAAGCGGCGAGCAGCGCGAGATCCTCGCGCGCCCCTGGGCGCTCCACGCCGGCTCCGGCGGAAATCCTCCGCTGGCCCCAAGAGGCCAGCAGTCTCCACGACGGCTCCTGGACAGCCCTGGCGCTGTCCGGAGGGCGGCAGGACGGCCCAATCAGGAATACAAGCATCGGGTTACGGGCCGGACGAAAGGGGGGGATTGGGAAAGGGGGGGTTACGAAATCTGCTGCATGCAGCTGGTTTCGGCCCCACCGAGGGGCCCATTCCTCGATACATAGCCGCGTCCGGCGCCGGGAGGCGCCAGGAAAATCGTCTACGTGAGCTGATGCTCAAACCCCTCCTGCTATCCCCCCCCTTCCGCCCGGCCCGACGGGTTGGCGGGACGGGGTCGGGAGAAATGAGGATATCATGACTCGTAGGCGGCCGCAGGTGTCGTTCATTGCATCCAGATGCTGTTGCTCATGCCCTTCATCCTCCCAAGCACGATGAGTGGCTCTTCTCTCCCAAGGGGGCCCGAAGCGAGCTCCAGGGCCTCTGAAGAGGGCAGGGGGACTCTGCCAGCCCTCCACCCCCATCTTCCATACCTTCCGACCTCTGCGGAAGGCGCGGCAGGTGATGCATTGAAACGATTTAATGCCTCAGGAAACGCAAGAAAACTCAGTGTTTCAAGAGGCGCAAGAGTGCGGAAGGTCAGCACGGAAGGTCTGGAAGAATGAGGGCGAGTGAGGACTCCGCAGACTGCCCACGAGGACCCCGATGGCGGCCCCACGAGGTGAAAGTCCGAGATGAAGCCGCTGGTTGTCCACGGTGGCTCGCCCTTGTCTTATGACCGGCCCAGGCCAGCCCCACGCTGCTCCGGGTCCCTCCAAGATTGCCCCAGGTATGGCTTCGGAGAGCCTAACAGAGCCGCAGGTGGCCCCCCAAGACAGCCGCCAGGGTGCCCCAGGAGCTGCCCAAGGGGGCCCACAAACAGGGCTCTCGAGCGGCCCCGGGCCCCGCCATGGCCCCAGGATGGCCCGAGAGGCTCACCAGACGGCCTAAGAGGGCTCCCAAATGGCGCATGCGGGATACAGCATGGGCCAAGAGGGCGCCAAGAGTTGTTCAAGAAGCATTACTCCGAGGTGCTCAACAGCTTCTCAGCAGACTCCGACAGTTGACGGGAGCTTCCGAGAGAGCCCCCAGCCCCAGCACCTTTCGCCGCTGCTGGATCCCGAGAGGGCCCCAACACGGTCCAAGAGGGCCCCAAGAGTTGCCTAAGATGGACCGTTCCGAGATACTGTACAGCCTTCCAAGTCTGACAATTGCCAAGGAGCTGCTATGAGAGCCTCCAGCCCAAGCACATTTCGCCGTTTCTGGATTCTCAATCAGCAGCCACAAAGAAAGCTCCAGACCCATCAAAGGCCCCAGACCACTCCTACATCCCCCGCAGCCCCCCAAGAGACTCCGACAGTTGCCAATGTTAGCAGGCGTGGATCACAATCAGTGCGTTCTGGCATCATAGGCGTCGCTGCGTCCCTGCCGTCGCCGGCGCAAGCGCCGGCGCTGCTGGCCGCCGCCAGCGCCGGCGCTGGCGCGGGGGGGGGGTGGTTGAAACCCCCCCCGCCCCGCGCCAGGGGGAGGGGGGGCGAGGGGTTGAAAACCCCTCCCGACCCTCCCCCTGGGCTGCCGCTGGTCATCGTTGCTGCGTCCCCGCCGTGGGCGCTGCTGGCGGCCGCCAGCGCCGGCGCCGAAGGGGGGGGGTGGATGTTTGAACCCCCCCCCTCCCCCCCTCTTCGAGAGGGGGGGGGAAGTTTCGGGAAGGGAGGAGTTTGGGGGGGGGGAGGGGAGACCCCCTGGGTTTGATCGACGGCGCCGAGTGTTGGGCGGGCCCCCCCCCCCTGGTTCGAAACGCGCCACCGAATGTTCCGAAGGCAAGCGCCCGTGAAACGCGATCTCTCGCATATTTAGATATACATATAGAGAGAGATATACACATATATACATATGCATACAGACATGCATGCCTACATACATACATGCATGCTTACATACATGTGTTCATCCATATATATATACATATTTATACATACATGCACACCTTCACAAACATATACATGCACACCTACGTGCATACATACATACGTCCATCCATACATACATACATGCACACATCCACACACGTGCACAGAAACATACATACATACATACGTACACATCCACATCCACATCCACATCCACATACACATACACATACACATACACATACACAGTCATCCGCGCACTGCACAGCAGCGCAAAGTAACGCAACGCAATGCAAAGCAATTCAAAACAACGCAAACCAATTCAACGCAATTCAACGCACTGCCATGATCATCATCGCAATGCATAGTAACGCAAGGCAAAGCAACGCAGCGCAATGTAAAGCAATGCCAAGCAAAGCAGAGCAATGCAAATACACACATTGCAAGGCAAATCACAGCACATCAATGCAACGCAAAGCAACGACACGCATTGCGCGGTAAGGCAACACATTGCAAAGCAAGGCACATCGATGCGATGCAAAGCAAGACCAGGCAATGCACAGCAATGCCAAGCAATGCAACTCATCCTCAAACACTGTAAAGCAACGCGGAGCAGCGCAAAGTAACAAACAAACAACACAATGCAAAGCACTACAAGCGCTGCTAAGGACCACAAAGCAACACAACGCACCACAAAACAACACATGCAACTCAACCCCAAGCACTGCAAGCACTGCAAGCACTGCAAAGCAACACAAAGCAGCACAATGTATAGCACGGCGTAGCAATGCACAGCAATGGAAGGAATACAATGTGACGCATGGCCCTGGCTAGCACTGCAAAACAAAGCAAAGCAGCGCAATGCAATTCAAAGCAATGCAATGCAAAGCGCAAAGGAAGGCAAAGGAATACAAAGGGTAATGCGCAGCAATGCAAAGCCTTGCAAGCAGCGCGCCGCAATGCACAAGGAAGAAGACCCAGGCGACGAGGCGGCGACGAGGCGGCGACTGGGCGGCGACGGCGACTACGTAGCCGCCAGGGCGGCACACCAGCATAGTTCTTTGGGCAAGAAGTAAGAGACCCTAAGTGCAAGCATCGTTAGGGGATGGAGTAGGGGCACAAAAAGTGGCATAAACATAACAGCTCGGAGGTCCGTGCGGATTTCTCGGATCGGCGCTGGGGCCCCCTCCCTGGCGCGCGGGGGGGCCCCAGCGCCGCCGGGGGGCCCCAGCGCCGATCCGAGAAATCCGCGCGGACCTCCGAGTTTTGATGTTTATGTCACTTGTTGTTCCCCTGTGGAGCTCCCACGAGGGCCTCAAGCCACAGCACCTTTTGGACGTTCCCGGATCGCCCGAAAGTCCCAAAGAAGACCACACTGGCGCCCCAGCAAGCCCCTCTCCCGTTTCTCCCCTCTTCGCGTCCTCCTCCCTGCTTCTGGTGCCTCCACGCCACTCTCTCTGTGCCGCTCTCCCGGTCCTCCTCCTCCTCCTCCTCCTCCTTCTCCATTCCTTTCCTTGCCAGTAATTTCCTCTCCATTCCTTCCTTATTAACTATCAATAATCATTCTCTCCTCCTTCCATTCCTTTCCTTTCCTTTTCTTGTCGCACCCCGAAGCCAGTTTGTTAGTGCGGGCCGGTCGTTTCGCTCGAGACTTCCTCACCATCTAGCCCTGAAGCTGAAACATTGGCAACCATTTCACAGATGGAGGGCGGGTCGTTTTTTAAATGCGGCTCTCGCCTTAGCGCCGCCTGCACTCGTCGTTAAACATGAATCTCACGGATTGAAGGCGGCACGTCTTCAAACATGAGGCTTTTGCTTCAGCGCCGTGCAAATTTGTTATAAGAAGTGCAAGAGCTTCACGGATTGAGGGCGGGCCGTTGTGAAAATGTGTGTCTCGCCTTAGCGCGGCGGAAATTCGTCTTATGATTGGCAAAACGTTGCACGGATTGAAGGCGGCTTATTTTCAATAAGTGGCTCTCGCGTGGTGATGCGCACCTGTGTTTTAAACATTGCAAGCGTTTCACATATTCTAATTGTCAACGTACCAGAAATCGTGTTTGGAGCGATTCTGGATTATGAGGGCGCAACAGTTACGTTGATTTGCGGCGTTCAGGTCTCAGAAACGGCGTCCCGGCACGATTCAGTATGGTCACGATGCAGTAGTCAGGTTGATCCGTGGCGTTGGATTCCCGAGAACAATGTTTTGGCATGCTTTGGGGTCTTCAAACGGTTGTCTTCCAACGAGGCAGTTACCTCAGTGGAAATGAACCGCTGCAGGGTCCTATGAAGAGGGAGCTTGCGGGGAGGGTCTATTCCAACATCGTTGATGACTCTTGGGTTCGCACTTGTCCTCCTCCTCCTCCTTCTCCTCCTCAATTCTTTTCCTTATCAATGATTTCTTCCTGTCGCACTCCGAGGCCCGTCGAATTGTCAGGTCGGGCGTTTCGCTTGAGCGCTCCTTACCACTTATGACCCTGAAGCTTCAAAGTTGATGACAGTTTCACTGATGAAGTGCGGGTCGTTTTCAAAATGAGGCTCTCGCCCCAGCGCCGCGTACATTCTCTTCAAACGTTGCAAGAGGTTCACGTGTTGAGGGCGGGTGGTTTTTAACATGTGGTTCTCGTTTTAGCGCGTCGCGCATTCGCTTTCAAAAACATGCCAGAGATTTTCGGATTGAGGGCGGCACGTTTTCAAAAACATGCTCTCGCTTTAGCGCCGCGCACATGCATTCTACAACATGCGTGAGCTTCACGGATTGAGGGTTTGTTTGCCGAGCTTCTATGCTTTTGTGAGAGTTTTTTTTTGCCGCGGGATACAACATGCACGAGTTTTTATGCCGTCGTGTAAATGTGGTGTTCGCTTCAGAGCCGCGTACATTCGTCTTATGACTGCAAACAGTCTCACGGTATTGAAGGCGGCGCAGTTGCAAAAAGTGTTTTTTTGCACATTGCAAGAGTTTCACGGGTTCCCATGGTCAACGCCAGGAATGGTGTTTAGGAGCGACTCAGGATTATGAGGTCGTAGCAGTTACGTGGATTCGCGGTGTTGAAGTCCCGGGACTAGCCCCCTGGCGCGATTCAAGATCGTCAAAACGCAACAGTCAGGTTGATCCGTGGCGTTGGAGTCCCGAGAACAATGTGTTGGCATGCTTTGGGGTCTTCAAACGGCTGTCTTACAACGAGGCAGTTACCTCTGTGGAAATGAACCGTTGTATGGGGAGTGAGCTTGGAGGGAGGGTTTATTCCAACATCGTTGGTGGCTCTTGGGTTTACACTGGTCCTCCTCGTCCTCCTCCTCCTTCTCCTCCTCCTTCTCCTCCTCCTCCTCCTCCTCCTCCTCCTTCTTCCTCTTCTTCCATTCACCTTGCACCAGCAAGCCTTGCCCCCCCCCCTCCCCCCTGGCCGAGTAGGCGTGACAGGGGAGACCTCCTCGACAGTAGCCCCGAAGAAAGCCCCAGACGCCAAACGAGGCCTCCGAAGGCTCCCCTCCCCGTTCTCTCTCGCCTATCCGTCCTCCTCCTCTGACTCTCGGAGCCTCCGTCCCCGTCTCTCGTCTGCCGCCCTCCCGCTCCTTCATCCGCTTCCGTCGGCGACGTGCCTCGGCCTGCATGCCGTGGACTCTCCATGGTGTGCGCGCCGGTCAGCTACAATGCCGGGAGCAGCGCGTGCGAGAAGGGCGAGCAGTGGCAGCGGGCGCTGGCGCTGCTGAGCGAGATGCGGGAGGCGAGGCTGGAGCCCAACGTCATCTGTGCTACCAGACCAGCGCAGCGCGTGCCAGCCTGTTAGTCGTGGAACAGCCGGAGGGGTCCAGCCTCCTAGACGGCCTAAGCGAGTTCACGAAGCCTCCAATGCAGCCGAGAACGGCCTCGAGAAGGCCGCAGATGACGTCCAGACGGCCTCGGAGGCCCTTTTGCTGCCTTCAGTGGCCGCGCTGTCGCCCTTTGTGGCCCCATATACGAATGCCCTTCGTGGCCCCCGCTCGTTCGCGCCCGTCGTGGCCCCCCATATGCATGCCCTTCGTCCCTTGATAGGCCAAGACGGCCTCCAGACGGCCGAAGCCTTCCACCATGCCCCAAGAGCGCTCCTCCAAGAGCACTCCCAGCAAGACCCCCTGGTGCAACAACGTAATGTGTTCTGTAGGCACCCTTTGTTGCTCAACACTTCACGCATATGCGAGTTTCGGGCCCTTGTAGCGTCCACGATGGCCCAACAGCCCACAAGATCGCCCCAAGCCAGCCCAAGAGGCCTCTCAAGCGAATCCCAAGGCGGCTTGAGAGGTGAGAGACCCAAGACGGCCCAAGAGGCGCCCAAGATGACCTGACCCAGTATGGTCCAGAGATGGCCCACTAGAGCCCCAGGTGCATCCAAGACGGCCCAGAGAGCGCTCCCAGAGAGCCCACAGAAGCCCACAGAAGCCCCCCCAATGGATGCTACAACGCATCCCGCTGTTGTAGCATCCGTCGGGTGCCTTCTGAGGGCCATCTTAGGGCCGATTTCAGACCGCCAGGCTCCTCGGCTCCATCATCTACGACATCTGTCAACCAATAGGCTGTCGCCGCCTGTCGGCTCGACACGTTCCCCTGCCAGTGCACCTTCGGATCCGCTCCACGGGTGCACACTGGTCAGCTACAATGCTGATATCAGCGCGTGCGAGAAGTGCGAGCAGTGGCAGCTGGCGCTGGCGCTGCTGCGCGAGATGTGGGAAGTAATGCTGGAGCCCGACGTCATCTATCCTACAACCCCGGGAGCAGCGTGTGCCAGCGAGGCCTTGTCCTACGCCCGCTGGGCCCGCGGCGGCGGCGCCTCCGCGGCCACCTGCTCCGAGACAGCCCCCGCGAGAGGCCCGAACGGCCCCAAGAGCGCCCCTCGTCCGCGCAAGAGGGCTCCCAGACGGCCCGAGAAGGCCACCAGCAGGGGCCACAGGGCTTCCATATGGCCTACGAGAGGGCTTCGGGTGCGAAAAACTATGGCTTCTCAATCCGTTTTCCCGCACGTCCTCGAGAGGTCGCTTCTCCTCCGGCCACAAGAGGCCCAACCCGCCCCGAGAAGCTTCCCAGAGCTCCCAGGACGGCCCCTGCGAGGACCCTGGAGACCTTCAAGTCGGCTGCGGGAACACACCAAGACGGCCGAACGGCCCCCCCAAAGACGGCCCCCGGGGAGGCTCCACAGGGCCCACTCCGGTGCGCTCCTCGCCCCTCCCGCCGCCACAACTGCCAGCAAGCCCCCGAGAGGCCCCCCCAGAGTCTCTCAGACCTCACGAGGGGCAAAAACACACACAGACACAATTAATCGTCGATCCCCAAGAAAGTATTGGAAAATGTGGGAATTGGGCGGGAAGACAAAAACCCAGAAGATATGAGAAAATATGGGGAGCCTTTTTATTTGTGTGTGTATTTATTTGTGTGTCCCAGGGCCCCTTCAAGACGGCCTGCCGGAAGCTCCCCAGCAGCTCGCTCGAACCGGCTCGGACATACTCCTGACACTACTTTGCAGGCTCCCGGGAGGCCTCCAACGGCACTCTCCAAACGGCCCAGGCAGGTTTAGAGAGCACCAGATGATTGGGAGCAGGCCACACCGGACACCCGTTGGTGGGAGGGGTTGCAGAAAGTAGCTCCCGATGCAGCCGTGGACACACGGGCACGACGTTTCCTCGGCCCTTCCAGCGCCGAGCGTGTCCTGAGAGGTGCGAGGGTGGCTTTTTCAAATCATCTTGGGCCTCTTCCTTCTCCTCCCCGTCGTCGCCCTCCTCCGCCACAGTCGCTCCTGCCCGCGGTGTCGGAGCCGCACGAGTTCCAGGAGGGGGAGGCGGAGAACGAAGAGGAGGAGGAGAAGGAGGAGGAGGAGGAGGAGGAGGAGGAGGAGAAGGAGGAGGAGGAGGAGGAGGATAAGAAGAAGGAGGAGGTGGATGACGAGAAGAACGAGGACGAGGAGGAGGAGGAGGAGGAGGAGGAGAAGCAGCACGAGCCAGATGACTAGGACGGCCAAGCACGATGACGAGCAGGAGGAGGAGGAGTCGGAGGCGGGGGACGAGAACGAGTCAAGCAGGAGGAGGAGGAGGAGAAGGAGGAGGAGGAGGTGGAGCTACTGCTGCTGCTACTGCCGTTGTCCCTGGATATGCTACCACTGTACTAGCGCTGCCCTGGACGCTCGCATAGACATCAAGCAAACAGCGCACCCTGAAGCAATGAGCACCAGCAAGGAAACTCTGACTGTCGGCATTCGTGGACTGAAGTCCACGGGCCAGCCCTAGTCAGTTACAGTGCTGGGATCAGCGCGTGCGACAATGGCGAGCAGTGGCAGCGGGCGCTGGCGCTGCTGAGCGAGATGTGTGAGGTGAAGCTGGAGCCCAGCGTCATCTGAATTCCAATGCTGGGCGTTGCGCGGGCGAACAGGGTAAGCAGTGAATAAGCTGCCCCCGAGCTGAACTGGACTCCGATGACGGATCCTCGAGGCCCAAATCATATATTCTCCTTTGATAATTGGCGATTCCCCATGTTCTCCCATTTCGTGCCAAGTACGGCCCCAGACAGCTCCGGGGCCATCCCAGATCGCCGCAAGACGGTCCCGGAGGCCCTGCTAAGTGCCCCAAGACGGCCCCAGAGGGTCCAAAGATTGCCCAAGGAAAGCCCGAGACAGCCTCATAGAACCCCCTGTGGCCCCCCAAACAGTCCCAAGAGGGCTACCGCGAGTTGCCCAACAGGTCCCCTGGCGGGCTCCAAGACAGCCCAGGACCGCCAACATTGCCCCAGGATAGCCGCAGAGGCTCCCGAGACGGCTCAGGAGATTCCCCAAATGGCCCAAGAAGGCCTCAAGAGCTGCCGAAGAGGGCCCAAAGCGGGCTTCCGAACAGCCCGAACCATCCAACATGGCCCCCAGACGTCCCAAGACTCCCAAAATCAACGGCACTCCAGATGGCCCCAGGACGTCCTGATAGCCCCCACGACGGCCCAAGAGCGCTTCCAACATGGCTCAAGAAACGCCATGGAGGCTCCAGAAAGACCTCCAAGAGGCCTCCAGGAGGGTCCGAAGATAGTCCTGACGACGGGCCTCCCGCAGCTCCCAATGTGCCAAGAATCTTCCCAGGACCCCTCCGATGCCCCGGAGCCTCCCGAGATGCCCCGACACCTGGCAAGGAGCCCCGCGCGCAGGACGCCCTCGGCCACGGCACGCCTCCGCCGTCTCTGGGAGCCCAGGGGGCCCCAACGTAAGCCGCGCAAACCCGAGCGAAGGCCCAAGATGCTCCGATAATTCCGACGCGAGAGAGCCTCCCGTCCTCGTGGCTCCCCGGCAGCCTTCAGCGGAGCCCCTTACCCATAGCACGGCCCAGCGAGCCGTCTCTCCCCGTTGAGCTCTCTTCCCTCACTCGTCCTCCCTCATTCGCCTCATTCTCTTGATCCTTCTCCTTGCCCCCCCCCCCTTCCTCCAAGCTCCCGCCACTCTAGGGTCCCCACACAGCCCGTTCGGGGTGGCAATCACCTCGGAGCCCCTGCAGCAGCTCCCGCACCCTTTGCTGTCTTCGAAGGCCGCCAAGAGATTCTGAAGACTGCCCTCACTCCAGAGCTACTTTCTTCCTCCTCGGCCTCTGCTCGCTCTCATGTGCCTCACTCCCTCCTCTGCTGCCCGCGCACCCCAGCACGTCTCAGGCCCCCCCCCGGCGATTAGGGATGACAAGGGGCACCTTCTTCTCTTTTCTCTACCCTGGCTTCCTCGGACTGCTCTGTGCCTCCTACACCCCCCTTTCGATTAGCGGTGACAAGGGGCACCTGCTCCTATCTTCTCTGCCTCGGCTTCCTCCTCTGGAAGCCTGCGCCCCCCATCTCCAGACCGCTTTCCTCCTTCTCCTCCGCCTCCTCCTGTACGAGGCTGCAGCGAGCCTGGACTGCGGGACGCCTTCGATGCCACCAGAAGCCTCCAGGGTCTACTCCGAGATAGCGCAGACTTTGTTAAAACATTCGAAGACAGCCACCAGCTTTAGAGCCTGGAGCCTACAGCAAACCCCAGAGCAAACCCGTCAGCGCCGGCGACACATACGCGGTCGGGGCCGACACCTTGACCTGCCAGCCGTGGCTCTTCCACAGGCTCACACTAGTCAGCTACAGCGCTGGGATCAGCGCGTGCGAGCAGGGCGAGCAGTGGCAGCGGGCGCTGGCGCTGCTGAGCGAGATGCGGGAGACGAAGCTGGAGCCCAACGTCATCTCGCCTACAATGGCCGCGTGCTAAAGACTTGTTGGATTCAAGTGTGGAGTCGAGCCTGTCCCTCTAAAGGGGGAAGATTCAAACATAGTAAAAAAGTCGGGGAACGATTGTTTATCAGCGAGGAGTGGATAATGATTCCTACCGTGCCTTGCTTCGCCACCTCTCTTCTGGCCCCGACGGGAGCAGACTGGCGGAGACCATGACAATGATCGCGGCTGCAGGATGCTGGCCCAAGGTGAGAAAGGTTGAGATGATCAAACACTTTCAAGGATCAGATTTGTGTGATAGGTGTAAAGAGAAACCTGAGACGGCCCTACATCGATATTGGGAATGCAGTCACAACAAGGGGTCCAAGGTTTTCGACATGAGTGAGGACCTCGTGAACCAGGCCACCACCCAGCTCAACACTGCGGAGGCTTTCTGGCTGAGAGGCCTCATTCCCGAACCGTGGACCCGTGTCCCAGAACCCGTTGGGCAGGACTCCTGGGAAGCGACGGGCGTGAACGAGGTTGAAGCTGGTTGCTTCGGTGAGGGATCACGCGAGTGTCCGCTACTGTTTTCGGGGGACGCCTCGGGGGGACCTGACTCCAGGTCGCCTCGGCTCCGCCGCGTAGGAGTGGCCATTGCCAGATGTTCCTCATTGACCCCCCTGTGCCTCGAAGTCTCCATAGTGGGCCCCCTGAGTGGCCACAGACAGGTTGTTGCTAGGGGTGAAACCATGGCGTTCTATTTAACCTTGTAAACCACGCGTGGTTACGTCCTGTATATTACTGATTTGGAGCCTCTGGCCGGGAGCTGGTATTCCAAAGCTTTTCCCACGCCTGGAGGACCCGATGCGGATTGGTGGGCCAAGATCGGGAACCTCATGTGTGCCAGGCGTTACAGTGACATCACCATTCTTTTCACCCGAAGTCATGAGGACGAGGGGGACATCATTGCAGGACGGTCGGTCCGCAGCCTTGTGTTAGCTAATACGGTGGCCGACACCCTTGCTGACAAGGCCGCCGAGCTCGCTAGGATTCCAGAGGCGATTCGGACTAAAGTGAACCTCGTCGAACACAATGCTTTCCGAATTCGACTTCGGCTCCTTCGAGCTACTCTCGACTGTTTTGCTGCTGCGAAGGCTTTAGCTGTGGAGGAACGGAATTGGAAAAGCGAGGGGTTCCCCCCCCTCCCACCCCTCCCCGCCCCGCTGCTGCTGCTCTCGCCCCTCTCTTCTCGCCTCACAGGCTCTCGGAGTGTAAACGTAAGTGCTTGACGTGTTTTGGGTCGGCCTCTCGGGCTACACTGGCCGAGTGGTGGAAGACTTCGTGTCCTGTGCTTGTCAATGTTGACGGGACTATCCTTTCCCCCTCTCAGGGGGCGTGGATCCATGTAGCGGGGGGCTGGCTGCACCCATCCCACTTTCTCAATTATCATACTGTGCTGAACACGTGGTTTTGTGGGTGTTGCGGGGGTATCGCTGATAAGCAGCTTCGGTCCCTCAGCAAACCCTCTGCGCCCCCCACCCGTACGGGGCGCGAGTATCTCGACCGCATCCAGAATGGGCTTGTCCCAAAGGTCCACGGCAAGGCCGAACAGCAACGTCGGCAGCCAAGGCCTTCATATTCTCCCTGTGGTCGTTTTTCATAACCTGCTGGCGCAGATGGTTGATACTCATACTCATACTCCGCGAGGTACTGGTGATGTGCCAGGAATGGTGTCGGGGGAGACTGAGTTGTTTTGGTACAGCCGCATGCGGGGACCGCCACCCCTTTTGGCACACCCCTCACATGGCTCGTGGCCCCACAGGGAGCTTTACCGAAGGCCCCAGTGGCAGATTTTGTGGATTTCGTGGATTGCAACGAACGCATCCTAACTTCGATACTAAGTGGTGAAAGCCAATTGTTTCATTTGGATTGTGGAATGCAATATGAGTGCTTCGGGATTCCACGTTTCCACGAAATCCGCGAAATCCACGAACATCAGCGAAATCCACGAACATCAACGAAATCAACGAAAAAAACATATGGATGTCGTCGACATGCAAGTTTCGTGGATTTGCATGGCTTTCGTGGATGCGATCAGGACTTAGCCCGGGAAAATCGGACATTCCTTAGGACAAACGGACATTCCCCGGTAGCACCGGGGAATGTCCGATTCCTGCGGCGTTTCTTTTGCGAATGTTTCGAGCGGGGTCGGGCCGCAAAGTCTTCGAAAGCCAACTGGTTGGCTTACGTCTGACCATTCGGTTTCCGAAACAACATACTGGGGAATGACTGATCTCGGTGTGCTCGCGCGTTGTAGCACTGGTACTGGCAATGGTAGTGGAAATGATACTGGTAATGGTCGTGGTCGTGGTAGTGGTAGTGGTAGTGGTAGTGGTAGTGGTGGTAGTAGTGGTAGTAAAAGTAGTAGTAGTAGTAGTACTAGTAGTAGAGTGTAGTAGTAGAGTGCAGTAGTAGAGTGCAGTAGTAGTAGTAGTAGTAGTAGTAGTAGTAGTAGTAGTAGTAGTAGTAGTAGTAGTAGTAGTAGTAGTTGTAGTGGTAGTGGTAGTTGTAGTTGTAGTAGTAGTAGTAGTAGTAGTAGTAGTAGTAGTAGTAGTAGTAGTAGTAGTAGTAGTAGTAAAAGTAGTTGCAGTCGTAGTAGACGTAGTAGTAGTAGTCGTAGTAGTCGTAGTAGTAGTAGTAGTAGTCGTAGTCGTAGTCGTAGTCGTAGTCGTAGTCGTAGTCGTAGTCGTAGTCGTAGTCGTAGTCGTAGTCGTAGTCGTAGTCGTAGTCGTAGTCGTAGTCGAAGTCGTAGTCGTAGTCGTAGTCGTAGTCGTAGTCGTAGTCGTAGTCGTAGTCGTAGTCGTAGTCGTAGTAGTAGTAGTAGTAGTAGTAGTAGTAGTAGTAGTAGTAGTAGTAGTAGTAGTAGTAGTAGTAGTAGTAGTAGTAGTAGTAGTTGTCGTAGTAGTAGTCATAATAATAGTAATGGTACAAGACGTTTGTAGTAGGCGTAGTAGTCGTAGTCATAGTTGTAATCGTGGTGGTAGTCGTTGAAGTAAAAAAATAGTCGTGGCAGCAGGATTAGTAGTAGTAGTAGCAGTAGTAGTAGTAGTAGTAGTAGTAGTAGTAGTAGTAGTAGGAGTAGCAGTCGTAGTAGTAGTAGTAGTAGTAGTAGTAGTAGTAGCAGCAGGAGTCGTATTATCAGCAGGAGTAGTAGACGCCACCTCCCACCTCCCACCTCCTCCTCCTGCCTCCTCCTGCCTCCTCCTCCTCCTCCTCCTCCTTGCCCCCCATCCCCCACTCACCTCCTCCTCCTCCTCCTCCTCCTATTCCTCCTCCTCCTCCTCCTCCTCCTCCTCCCCTTGCTCTTCCTCATCCTCCTCGCCGTTTTCCCTCCTACTCTCCCCTGCCTCATTGCTCCCCCCTCTCGCTCCATTCCCCTCCCTCCCGCTCGTTTTCCCCCACCACCCCCCTCCTTCTCTTATTCCTTCTCGTACTCAATTAGATGGCCGTCCCAACACCGTGTGAACCAATAGAGTACAACGAAAAAGGCCCACGACGATCCGAACCCTGCTCCCATCCTCTACTGTCGGGTGAACAAGCCTGCACGGTAGAAGCCCCGCCTCTCTGACGCAGAAGCCCCGCTTCAAACGCAGGAGCATCTGCGTATCTTTGAAAACAACAGGAACAAAACGAAGAGGTGGCGGGAGGTAAGAGTGAGGGGACGGAAGGTAAGAGGAAGGTGGCGGAAAGTTCGAGGGAGGTGGCGGACAAATATGGGATGGGGCAGAAAGTGGCCTCAGAAGCCTCCCAGAAGCTTCTCGGAAGCTTCGCAGAAGCTTCTTAGAAGCCTCTCGGAAGCTCCTCAGAAGCTTCTCAGAAGCTTCTCAGGAGCCTCTCAGAAGCTTCTGAGAAGCTTCTCAAAAGCCTCTCAGAAGTTTCTCATACACTTTTCAGAAGCCTCTCAGGAGTTCCTCAGAAGCTTTTTTTGTCAGAAGCTTCTCAGAAGCTTCCCAGAAGCTTCTCTGAAGGCTCTCAGAAGCTTCTCAGAGGCTTTGCAGAAGCTTCTCGGAAGCCTCTCTCAGAAGCCTCTCGGAAGCTTTTCAGAAGCCTCTCAAAAACCTTTCATAAACTTCTCGGAAGCCTCTCTCAGAAGCCTCTCTCAGAAGCCTCTCAGAAGCCTCTCAGAAGCCTCTCAGAAGCCTCTCAGCTTCTCAGAGACTTGCCGGGGAATGTCCGATTTTCCCGGGCTAAGATCTGTTTTACCGGGAAGCGTCTTCTTGTCTTTCGTGGATGTAGCATATTTCTGTTGGTTTTCGTAAATTTCGTGGATTTGCCACGAATCCACAGAATCCACTCGTGGCCGCTCATGCCACGAGCGCAGATGTTTCGTAGTGGCGCAGGATGGAGCGTGGAATTCACAATTCCATTGAATGTGGGAAACCTGTGGCACAGGCCGCATGCGGGGCCGCCACCCATTTTGGCACACCCCTCACACGGTTCGTGGCCCCACAGGGAGCTCCACCGAAGGCCCCAGTGGCACAGGTTGCACGCGGGGACCGCCACTCATTTTGGCACTCTCCTCACACGGTTCGTGGCCCCACAGGGAGCTCCACCGAAGTTCCTGTAAGGAAGGAACTCCTTTTTTTTCGTCCCAGCTGATCTGCGGAACTCGCACTTGCATATGGTTGGGCCCTTCGCCAGGATAATTATTCATCCAAAATCCGCCTGCAAGGGGACACGCCCGACCTAACTCAAGTGTCCGGCGGGACCCCAGAGAATCCCGCGGCGAGTCCCTGCGAGCCAGGCAGGCCCTGGAGCGCCTCTTCGGGCTGCTCCGGCGCGCCCCCGGGAGCCTCCAGGAAGCCCCCAGAGGAAACCCCCAGTGGGGACCAAGACACCCCCTCGACGGCTTCAGGTCGCTCAGAAGTAGGACCCCGAGGACGGCCCGAGGCGTCCAAGATCACACATCCTCCATGTGTTCCCAACCATCCTGCGGTGTGGGGTCC